GAATATCATGCGCAGAAATATATGATTTTTACCAACGGCCGCGCGAATTTTAATGGGCGCGAGGCTGCACGGCTGTATCAGATTGCGTTTTCAAAAAAAAAAAAAATAATAATAATAACAATAATAATAATAATGCTTTCTAACTAGAAATTACCGGGGGCCCATGCTGGAAAAAATGTGTTAACCCCAAATGCAATTTTGTGATGAATATCCAGAAACAATTGACAATCTTGTATCAGGTTTCACGGTGTTAGTACTCACTGATTAGTACGGCATGATAGAGTAGGCCAGTATCTGCACTAGAAAAATGTGCGAATTTTCCGGGAAATAAATGCCAGAATCTGCTATGAACATCACCCAGTCCCGATTACAGAGGCAGGACCTGTGACAATTTTATGGGACTTTCCAAGACACACAAACAGAATAATCAAAGCTAATCGTTCAGACATCGTGATGAAAGACCACAAAAACAGAATGTGTTTTCTTATTGGCATGGCAGTCCCTGCAGATTTTAATGTATCTTTGCAGATCTTTATAAAAAAAACTATTAAAATACAAGGATCTTGAAGTGGATAGGTAAAAAATTTGGCACATGAGAACTGTTGTAGTTAGAGCCCAAGGATTGATTGGAAAAGATTCCGATAGACTCATTGAAGGAATTCCTGGTAGACCATGCCTTCTATTCCAAATATTCGACCACTCTATCAAGCTCAGTTTTATATGCAGTGGGTGCTAACACTGTGCAACCTGATACAAGATGATCAATTGTTTCTGCATATTTACCGCAGAATTTGCATTTAACTCAATTTTTCAGTATGTCTGGTAATTTCTAGTTAACAAGCATTAGTTCTGTGCAGCAAGAATAAAACCTTCGATTTCAGGTTTAACCCTGCACTACTTAACCAATAATGGATACAAGGTTTGTCTCCATCAGCTTATTTGGTACGGGTAGAGTATTGGCTATGAACAGGCTAACCTTACCATCGTTTCTGCATTTGGTCAATTGCATTTACTTTTGACTTTTTTTTTAGGTTGTTTGCTGCTGCAGTATGTATGTCCTGGTTTATTTGCACTTCTTCACTAACTTGAACTGGCTTCCTTTATTACTGAATAAATTTTCTTATTTTTTGAAATTATTATTACTATAATTATTATTATAATACTTGAGACTATATTCGTTGTATTTATACATGAGACTATAAATAAATATCGGCCGTGTTTCTAAGTAAGTCAGTAGGAAAATATTTGTCGGGTTTACACTTGATACTATAGGTAAACATTAGTTGAGTTTATACTTCAATCTGCAGCCAGCCAACCGGAAGACAAGCGTTTTTTATTTTATTTTTATAAGCGGGGTCATATCCGTCTTCACGGGTTGCAGTCATCGTATTTTAGGTCCTACCTTCAGGGCAGAGCAATATGGAGGCGAGAGATTTCCCTTGCAGTATCGTTTTGACTGAAGTAATTAACATCTGACAGCTCGTTTTAAAGAATAAAAGTAATTTATACGACATTCAGGCCATTGAATCTTCTTACGGGTCGATGCTTATACGTTTCGTCTTCATTAATTTTATTAACAGTGCAGCAAAAAACCTGAATGTTGTTAAACTTCACCTTATGCAGGGCACGAGAAAGATTTATGAAAAGTCGAATTTCATTAAATTTGCTGAAAAAAAATCACTCAATATATTCATCTTCTGTGGCGTTTTTTTTTTTTTTTTTTCATCAGGACGTTGACGAACATGGCTCTCCACACATACCTAACATTTCTATAGGTTTATCCCTTGTTTTCTGTTTAAGTGATTGGATCTTAACCATTTTTTACCGCTTTTCATTTCTTTTTTTTTTCATGGTGAACCCTTAATAGCTATTTGATATAAGACAACAATATTCTATTTTTCACTAATAACAATTTTGAGGTTTTAATAATCAAATAAATATTATATAATTCAGCTTTATTTTTAGTGGAGAGATGTTTTCCCTGTCTATAAAAAGGTTGCATCTCAAGTAATATCTAACAACTACGTTCAGCTCCAAGAATAGGCGAAGGTGGAAAACTGGCGCCTCATGACCAGCTGCTTCGTGGAGCTGGAACTAGACAGCCCAGAAAGGAAGGTCATCTAGAGCAGTGGTTCTCCAGCCTTTTTTTTTTCTTACCCATGGTCCCCTTTTCCTTTCTTTTTTTTTCTTGGTGAACCCCTTAATAACTATTTGACATGAGACAATATTCTATTTTTCACTAATAAAAATTTTCAGGTTTTAATAATCAAAGAAATATTATATAATTCAGTTTTATTTTTAAATGAAAACTAATTTAATGCAAATAAATTATTCTACAATTATTATAATAATAATAATTTTTATTGACCAATATCTTGAATTACGATATTACAAGGTTTCTTCCATAGTCAAGGCTATGGGGAGCAGAGATTTTCAGGCAATTGAATTCACTGCAGCATTTATGTATGCATACTGGTTAAAAATTTTAATAAACCAATTTAAGTTAAGTGCGTGATTAGAAAAAAAAGAAAGGCATATTTATCCAATGAGCTCCCTGTGTTTGATGCTGCTCAGCGAGTTTTTTTTTTAATATCTTGTTCCATCGATGTTAATGATAGGCGTAGATCACCTCCTTTCTCAATGTCAAGTCTATTGCGAACTTTTGATAACAGTTGAGAAACACGACTAAATCCCGATTCAACAAGATAAGACGTTGGAAAAGCAACAACGTAGGCCTGTGCCTGTGGACCCCCCAAAATATATCATGGATCCCTAGGGTACACGTGGACCCCCAGAAATTTCACATGGATCCCTAGGACCCATGTGGACCCCCAGAAATATAACATGGATTCCTAGGGACCATGTGGACCCCCAAAAATATAACATGGATCCCTAGGGCCCATGTGGACCCCAGAAATATTGGCATTTCTTTCTGCAGTGGACCAGTTGCCATCCAAGGCTGTAGAACCCAGTTTTTCCTGTCAGTGAGAGTGAATAATTCTGTCCACAACTGTATATAACGTTTCTAGCAATAAGAAATACACGCACAAATAAATATATGTGTGTGTGTGTGTGTGTGTATTTCTTATCACACACACACACACATACACACACACACACATATATATATATATATATATATATATATATATATATATATATATATAAATATATATATATATATATTGATAATATTAGTGGTCAATGTACACACACACACATATATGTCTCTTTAACTACTCCTTTTACACTCTCTGTTAAATTACAAAAACTTAAACTACCCATCAATTTTAATTTTATTTTTCGTTTCATTTCATTTTTGGAAGTGCTATCTGATGATCAGGCGTCCTGTAAAAGGGTTCTGGTGAAATAAATTATTATAATGGAACCTTAAAGTGGTCTGTTTTTCTTTTAAATTAATACTTCTGGATCTTCTAAGGCAGATCATGTTATAAATAGTAGGTATTGTGTCTTCGTGGACTAAATAAAGAGGTAATTTCAAAATGCCAACATATATTACCTGAAGAAGGCCGGAGCGTACAACAGACGAAACGTCGTAAATATGGCAATAAAGATGAGGACAACAGCCCGAAGAAAGTAAATAGAGTAAATGCTACCGCTTCGGGTCAGGTGGAACCTGGGCACAACAGCAATAAAAAGGTGGTTCCACATTCCACAAAACCTCCCGTTGAGAAGCCTTGTCGGCAGATATAGTTTATCGTTATACCCAGGACGAGGGGAGGATGGTGAAAAGGTAAACCAAAGAGATACATAGGATAGAAAGTTGTGGAGGGCCTTTTCCTTTCGAAACATGAATATTTTGTAGCTGGCGTCAATGACAGTGAAAAATGGTATGGTGGTCGAATACAAGGCCAACGTTTCCACCATTTACAGGGAAGGCATTCAAGCCATCGGTACACATACCTACAGAAAGATTTACGGCAAGGGTTCATCATACAACGATGTCATTGTTTACAGCCTGTCAGTGCATGCAGAAGAAAAAAGGTCGGTTTCAAAAGAGTGACAGTGATATCTATCTATCTATCTATCTATCTATCTATCTATCTATCTATTTCGGTCTTTTCATATCTATCTATCTATCTATCTATCTATCTATCTATCTATCTATCTATCTATTTTAGTCTGTTCATATCTGTCTCATCCTGTTACCATTTTGCGCATGTGTGTAGAAAGGATATTTTTCGGGGGATAACAGGTACTATATCACACTATAAATAAAAACAGATAGACTATGATAGATAGATCGATCTCAAAATATAAAAAAAATATATATATATATATATATATATATATATATATATATATATATATATATATTGGAACATGTTAGAATAGATAGATAGATCTGAATAGACTGTTATACCTAGATCGATCGATAGAGAAGACAGAATTAGACACTAATATATACATACACATATATATATATATATATATATATATAGCTAGTTGGTTAATTTCCATATATATATATATATATATATATATATTTCTATGTTACTAATTCTGTTACACACACACACACACACACACACACATACACATATATATATATATATATATATGAACAGGCTAGAATAGATAGATAGATAGATAGATAGATAGATAGATAGATAGATAGATCGATCGATCGATCGATCAAGATGTAGAAAGTTAGTAATATGGGGGTCTGGCTTTTTTCGGCGCTACACATTCTTTCTTACCGCATTCTCTCTACTTACCAGCCATCTTAACTTTGCTCCTCTTATAATAATTCTCCATTTATTTAAGTCCACATTTCCAATGCGATTTAGATAGAATCTCCTATATAAGATTTTAAAAAATGTCTTTTCTTTTGTTTCAAATATTTTACGATACTTAATCTCGTGAGATTTGGCTTAGTCACACGTGAAGTGTGTTTTTAGGCCAGAATTTTATTCTTACAATTCCTTTACTCCAGTGCGGTCGTCTGGTGTCTGGCTTTAATCTCAGGTCAATTGGATATGTATATCACAATCAAGGCGGGGTGTGGATTTCTTTCTTTTTTTTTTCAGTGTTGGGTGAGGCGAGCAAGAAAATAAAAACTTCTTGCCGTGTTCCTATCAACGGACAACGCTGACAAATACATCAGAATGGCCATCTGTTTCACCGTCAACATGGAAGCTGGACAATAGCCCAAAATTTGGGTACAGACAGAGGATTAAATATCTGATACGAATTTTTTTTATATATATATATATATATATATATATATATATATATATATATATATATATATATAATTCCCTATCTTTTTGTTACATCTTTTCTCTTTCTCTTTCTGTCTTTCTCAGTTTCCTTTCTTTTTTCTATCTTTTCATTTTCATTCTTTCTTTCTTTCTTCCTTTCTTTCTTTCATCCTTCCTTTTTCTTTCTTTCTTTCTTTCTTTCTTTTCTCTGCCATATTTTTTGCCGTTTTTTCTTTCTTTCTTTCTTTCTCTCTTTCTTTTTTTCTTTCTTTCTTTCTTTCTTTCTATCTTCTGTCCTCCAATTTTTTTTTTTTTCTTCTTTTCAGCATCACATTGTTTTCTTTCTTTTTTCATTTACTTAATCTTTTCTTTTCTTTCTTTTCTTTCTTTTTTTTTTCTTTCTCTTTTTTTTTTTTTTTTTTCTTTCTTTTTTTTTTTTTCTTTTTTTCTTTTTTTCTTTCTTTCTTTCTATCTTCTGTCCTCCAATTTTCTTTCTTTTTTGCCTCAGCATCACATTGTTTTCTTTCTTTCTCATTTACTTAATCTTTCTTTCTTTCTTTCTTTCTTTCTTTCTTTCCCTCAATTTTTTCTTTTTTCTTTGCATCTGCATTTCATTGTTTCCTTGCTTTCATTCATTTACTTCACCTCTCTCTCCTAAATTCTTTCATTTTTTTCTTCCATTTTCTTTTTGTTTCTTTGTTGCTTTGTTTCTTTATTTCTTTCATTTTCATTCTTTCTTTCTTTATTCCATTATTTTTCTTTCTTTCTTTCTTTCTCCTTTTTCTTTCTCCTCTTTCTTTCTCTATTTCTGTTCTTTTCTTTCTTTTTTCTCTTTCTATATTTCTTTATCTTCTTCCTTTCTTTATTTCTTCCTGTCTTGCTTTCCTTTCTTTTTCCAGTTTCTTTCCTTATTACCATTTCTTTCTTTCTTTATTTTCTTTTCTTTCTTTTATTTTCTTTTTCTTTTCATTTTTTCATTCTTTTTTTTCTTTCTTTTCTTTTCTTTTCTTTTTCTTTTTTTTCTTTCTTTTCTTTTCTTTCATGGCTCTTTATTTCTTATATTTATATTCCTTCCTTCCTTCCTTACAAGGGTTTCTTTCTTTCTTTCTTTCTTTCTTTCTTCCGATTATTTTTCTTGCATTTTCCTCTTTTTTTTATTCTTTCTTTCTTTTTCCTGTTCCTTTTATCATTCATTCCTTCCTTCATTTCTTCCTGTCTTTCTTTCATTTCTATATTCTGTTAATTTCATTCTTTTTATCCTTTTCCTTCTTTCTCCTATTTCTTTTTTCCTTCTTTTTCCTATTTCTTTTTTACTCTTTCTTTCTTTCTTTCTTTCTTTCTTTCTTTCTTTCTTTCTGTATTTCCATTTTTTCTTTTTTTTTTTTTCTTTGTTTCCTTTTACGTTCTTTTCCTGCCAGTGTTTCTATTTACCATTTTTTCTTTCTTTCTTTTCCTTTTTTTTCTTTTTTTTCTTTCTTTCTTAATTTTCTTTCTTTTTCTTTCTTTTTTCTTTCTTTCTGTCTTTCATTTTCTTTCTTTCCTTTTTTTTTTTTTTCCATTTTTTTCTATTCTTTTTTTTTTCTTTCTTTCTTTCTTTTTTTTCTTTTATTCTTTCTTTCTTTCTTTCTTTTTTTTATTTTCTTTCTTTCTGTTTTTCCTTTTTCTGTCTTTCTTTGTTCTTTTATTTTTTTTTCCTCTTTTCTATTTTTTTTCTTTTCTTCTTTCTTTTCCTTTCAAAGATTTCTTTCTTTCTTTCTTTCTTTCTTTCTTTCTTTCTTTCTTTCTGTATTTCCATTTTTCTGTCTTTCTTTGTTCCTTTGCCGTTTACGTTCTTCCTGCCAGTGTTTCTATTTACCATTCTTTCCTTCTTTCTTTCCTTTCTTTCTTTTTTTCTTTCTTTCTTTTTCTTTCTTTCTTTCTTTCTTTCTTTCTTTCTTTCTTTCTTTCTGTATTTCCATTTTTCTGTCTTTCTTTGTTCCTTTGCCGTTTACGTTCTTCCTGCCAGTGTTTCTATTTACCATTCTTTCCTTCTTTCTTTCCTTTCTTTCTTTTTTTCTTTCTTTCTTTTTCTTTCTTTCTTTCTTTCTTTCTTTTTTTTTATCTGTTTCATTCTTTTTTCTGTTCTTTTTCTTCTTTCTTACTTTTTTATCCTGTTCTTTTCTTTCTTTTACCGTTTTCCTTATTCTTTCGTTCTTTCTTTCTTTTATTTCCCTCTCTTATTTTCTGTTTCTTTCTTTCTTTCTCCTCTTTCTTTCTTTCACGTCTTTCTTTCTCTTCTTTCTTTCTTCCAGTTATATAATAAAGAGACGTATTAGAAAAACGGAGAGACGAAATAGGAAATAGCCACACAAAAAAAAAAAGAAAAACGAAAAGTTCTGATAAAAAAAGAAAGAAAGAAGCAAAGAAAGAAGGAAAGAGGAAAACAACAAAGAACGACTCAAAAGGAGTATAGACTAATCTCCTCATCATTTTCCTTCTTCTTCTTCTTAGCAAGTCTCTCCTCCATTTTTCTCTGCCTCTCCGCCCTTAGTGCTTTCAAATTAACGATTATTTATCACTCATAATTTTACTGATATTACGTAAAAATTAAATAAAGAAAAGTGTACTGAACTGTTATACAATATCAGTCCTCCTATATGGCAGTGAATGCTGGACAATCTCCTCACAGATGAAGAAGAGATTTGAAGGAAGAAAAACAAAGAAAATAGTACTGAACTGTTATGTAATATCAGTCCTCCTATATGGCAATGAATGCTGGGCAATCTCCTCACGGATGAAGGAGAGACTTGAAGCAAGAAAAACAAAGAAAATAGTACTGAACTGTTATGTAAAATCAGTCCTCCTATATGGCAGTGAATGCTGGACAATCTCCTCACAGATGAAAAAGTGATTTGAAGCAAGAGAAACAAGGAAAAGAGTACTGAACTGTTATGAAATATCGGTCCTACTATAGAGCAGTGAATGCTGGACAATTTCTTCACAGAGGAAGAGAAGAACTGAGGCAGCAGAAAAATGGTTCTACAGAAAGATGCTGAGGATACCATGGACCGAAACTGGCCGCAGCGTCAAAGTTTTAGAGAAAATAGAAAAGTAAAGAAAACTTATACTTAACATCAGGATGCAAAATCTGAAATCTGTATACTGAGGAAAGAAGGCTAGGAAAATCTGACACTCACAAAATAGATTGAAGTCCAAGAGGGACATAGGAAAAAAACACATATAATGATTAATTAGCTTGACTAAATGGATGGTGGAACAGGACTTGGAAGAGATAAAAGAAAAAATGTATTAAGAGCTCCAAAGAAAAGGATATAATGTAGTGCCATGATCACCTACGTCATGAAGTGACACGGCACATAGAAGCAGAAGAAGAAGAAGAAGAAGAAGAAGAAGAAGAAGAATGAGGAAAAGAAGAAGAAGAAGAAGAAGAAGAAGAAGAAGAAGAATGAGCGTCGGTTAATGAATGGCGGCAAAAGGATTGGGAGAAAAAAACAAAAAGACAAATTTTATTAAGCGCTACAAGTAACAGGAAGTTGTGGAGACCCATGATCGCCAACATCCTGAGGGGACACGGCACATAAAGAAGAAGTTTCTTGGTTCCTTATTTGTTTCCGTTTTGATCACTAAGAAAAATGGAAAAGACATATGAGAGACGCCGATGAGACAAGTTACACAGTAAAAATAAAGAGCTATAACAGCTACTGGGCTTGAGAAACCTATTTTCCTGAAAAATTGTTTTAAGAGAAGGATTTTATCAGTGGAAAAGAAAATAATGGCATAATCAAGATATTGACATTCCACACTACTTCAAACAAAAGGTTAGCAAGGAAACGGCCTATCACTACTGTAAAGAGCGATAACATCTACTGGACTTGAGAAAACTATTTTCCTGAAAAATTGTTTTAAGAGAAAGATTTTGTAAGTGGAAGAGAAAATAATGACATAATCAAGAAGTTGACATTCCACACTACTTCAAACAAAAGGTTGGGAAGGAAACAGCCCATTAATACTGGAAAGAGCGATAACAGCTACTGGACTTGAGAAACCTATTCTCCTGAAAAATTTTTTTAAGAGAAAGATTTTATAAGTGGAAGAGAAAATAATGACATAATCAAAATGATGACATTCCACACGACTTCATACAAAAGGTTAAGAAGGAAACGGCCCATTAATACTGGAAAAAGCGATGACAGCTACTGGACTCGACAAACCTATTTAACTGAAAAATTGTTTTAAGAGAAAGATTTTATAAATATCAGTCGAAAGCCGTGCTGTCTGCTCAGTTAATGAATGCCAAATGTTTCCTTATAGGGAAACAGCTAATATAACTATTACCTTTAACATTAAGTGAATGTAAGTGAACTCGACTTTTACACCTCTTTTTAATCATTTCACCCAAAGCAAGGCAATAAAGCCACTAAGACGCAAGGGGATTACGAAGTGTGAAAGAATGTGAGAAAAGAATATGAAACGAATAAAAGAAAAGGAATTTAAGACCACAGATGATATCGACTGAACTTGCATTTAAATTTTTAAAGATCAAAGTTGACTGTGAAGCAAGGAAGATCCACAACCGAGCGAAGAAACTGCTAGCACAGAACTGACGGTTATATCATGCCATTTCTTCTGTAAATGGATGAAATCCTCAGTCTAATACTATATTTCGTAGATTATATGTACAAAAGAGGAATTCTCATCAAAAGAGTTACCATGAAATCATACTTATTATAAAACCCAGGTTGTGTATGTGTGTGTCTGTATGTTTATATATTGGATCGGATTTCCTACATTTTTCAACCGATTTCAACAAAACTTCACAGGACTACGTAAAATTACCTTGCGGTGGTTCTGACACTGCCAAAAATTGTAAAAACACAATTGTGTTTGCACGAAATCAATTTGAAAACACGATTAAGAGGCATCGCGAGAATGAAGTTTTTGTTCATATCGAGTTATACTTATTAAAAAAACCCAGGTTGTTTGTGTGTGTGTGTGTGTGTTCGTTTATGGGAAATATTTTCCTACATTTTTCAACCGATTTCAACAAAACTTTCACAGGACTGCGTAAAATTACCTTGCGGTGGTTCTGACAGCGCCAAAAATTGAAAAAACACAATTGTTTTCCACGAAATCAATTTGAAAATACGATTAAGAGGCATTAATGAAAGGGGGACAACTCATATCGAGTTTTACTTATTATAAGACCCAGTTGTTTGTGTGTGATTGTGTGTGTGTTCGTTTATATATGGGATCGGATTTCCTACATTTGTCAACCAATTTCAACAAAACTTCACTTTTTTTGGCAGGTAGTATTTCTTATTGTCCTGCACACTTTTTTCTTTTTTTTTTTTTTACATTCAGAATGCTTTAAAAATTCCATTTACAAGACAATTGTTTATAATAAAATTCTATTCAATCGGTAGATCCATAACGATTGAAAACAATGTTTTTGTTTGAGTTTGGGTTTGACCAATTCGTAAAAAAAAAACACCAAAAAACAAAAAAACAAAAACAAAAAACTAATTAAGACATGCGTGTCCGTCAACCTTAAACAATAATCTTTGTCAATTTTATTTTTCAGTCTTTATGATGGTCGATAATTGATCTATCTCTTACTGTTACATCCCCGGGCAACGCCGGGCTCTACTGCTAGTTATTTATAGAAAAGGCAGAGGGAGTCTACGTTTCAACGGTGAGAAAGGACTGACGCCGAGATGCGATGTCAGGACAAATCTTCTTTGAATTTTATGAAGAATCAGTAAATATATTTAAACACGTTTCTCAGATTTCTCCACTTCCGTTATTTCATTCTCGTTAATAAGGAAAACTTGGATGGAATGAATTGTCGAGGTTCATACATTGATTATTTGGGAAAAAACAAAGATGCCCCTAGATATTTCTGGTATTTTTTTTTTTTTTTTTTTTTAAAAGACCTCTGGAAGAATATTTAAAAATCTAGAATAGAAAGGCATGAATCAAGTGAAATTAAAAAAAAAACTGAATAACGATCAGATAATCCGGATTAAATATTGTTTTATCCAATTTTTTAAAATATTGAACCAGCCTTAAAATTCGAGAAATTTTACAGAAAAACATCTATCTATCTATTTATATATATATATATATATATATATATATATATATATATATATATATATATATATAATAGTGCATCATCATTATATGCATTGAAAATATGTGGTTTGTTTAAAACATACAAAACAGACAAAAAAATATATCATATTGACGATTATATCTCTATATTATACATATTTTGTCTATCTATCATTCTATCTAATGCCATATATATATATATATATATATATATATATAATAGAAAGATAGATGAATAATTGTTTTTTAATCGTTATATGTGATCATATTTATTTAAAAATTTTTGTTTAAAAACAAGAAAAATGAATATTAATATATAACGATTATATATATATATATATATATATATATATAGCATGTGTGTGTATATATATATATATATATATATATATATATATATATATATATATATATATATATACCAATTTCTTATAAGAATGGAAAATATATAAAGTATAGGTACATATATTTTATAAATATATATGTCGTATAACGATAATATACTAAATATAAATATTAATTTTATATGTAAAAACTCAAACATTTAATATATATATATATATATATATGAATATATATATATATATATGTATTTGCATTCATATATTTCAGATATAACGATTTCGTCAACAATCCAATTATTGTACATAGATATTTATTTTGTATATGAACGTGTCCTTTTGATGTGGTTCATTTGTCGGAATTGTTACGGCGCGCTGTTTGTTGAGGGTGATGACAGAAGAGACGCGGATCAAAAAGGTAGGTTTCAAATTTTAAATGAACCGCCACCAAATTCGGCTTCCAATCATTTGTGGCTTTTTATCCATAAATTTTTGAGAAAATTAAATACCATAGCCAATATTCGTTTGGAATGACCAAAGAGACGAGAAAATGATTTCGGAGTCGCGTCAATATCCAACATTAAAATCTTTTCCAATTGTCGACGATGCTCACTCCTGAAGACATGCACAATTAATAATTTAATAATAAATAATAATAATAATAATAAATAATTATAAATGGCGGGTCTAACACCAGCATTTATTACGATGAGAGTTAAGTCTATGATAATTTTTCCTCTCTTTTAAATAATAATAATTTTTAATAATAATAATAATGGCAGGTCTAACACCAATATGTTTTTTTTTACGATGAGCAAGTACAGTCTTTTCCTTCCTCTCTTTTCTTAATAATAATAATAATAATAATAATAATAATAATAAAAGGTC